TCCTGGAAGGCTGGGCTAAACCAAACCGGATTAAAAACACATTTCCCTCAGCTAGGGTAGAAGCTAGTTTTTATTTCCCCTTTCTTCCAGTTCACCTAGAACAATAGTTCAGGGCCATCTGGGCCTCTACTATGTCTCCAGCCCTCTAGGTTACATTGCCTAGCCCTTCAAATGTACCAAAGATGTAAGAAGAACTGAAACCTGTACTGCCGCTTTTCCACTTTACAATCAACTAAATATTGCTCTCAGAAATACAGCCTTTTGAGAGTAAACTACATCAAAATATTTAAAACATCTGTTTTCAATCTAAAAGATAAATATGTGTATGGCATATCTGATGTGCTTGAAACAAGTCTAAAATACGCTATCATGGAAAAACAGGCCACTGAAGAGCATTAATAGTATTGCTTTGTGTAATTTTAAAGGATGTGTATAGATGCTATTAAATGCACAGAAACTTCTGGGAAGATACATAGACTTAGTGGTCACCAGGTTATAGGGGGAGAGGAGTATAGCTCATTTTATCTACTATTTGAATTTTCTAACTCTTGGATATATTGCATTCATGTGTTCACTTTTATGTCATTACATTACCTGGGATGGTAAAACTATGGGTCATTTTATTTGCTTTATACTGCTCAGGATAAGGAAAAAAACACCTGTGCTACTTAGCACTAGGAAAACACTGATAATAGATCTGACTGTATTAAAATAAAAAGTATATTAAAATAAAATATAAAACCGACAAAAGCTTGGCATGTAGAATAAAGACCTAAATATTACTCAAGAAATGAAATAATCCAATAGAAAAATGGGCAAAGTATGTGTGTGAACTGATACTTTACAGAAAAGGAAATACAAATGGCCAAAAAATGAGATTTAGTAATTGAAATACAAACTAAAGTCACAATAAAGTACCTTTCCACACCCATGTGATTTGCAAAAATTTCCAACCACTTTGAAGAGCAATTTGGCAATTTCTAGTAAAAGTTAAAATGCGCGTATTCTAAGTAACTGACACATTGAGTACAGTGTACAAGAATGTTCCACCACAGTGTTGTCAGCAATACAGAAGCAGCTTTGGACCACACCTTTAGCCTGTCGAAAGGAGAATGGATAAATTATAGTAGCTCATATAACTGTATCACAGCACGGTATTAAAAGTAATGAATGAGCGCTTCACATACAACATAGATTAAGTACACAACACAGATGAAGCATATGAGTGAAAAATGAAAGCTGTAGAATGGGACAGTTTCAGGTTTAAAACATTCACAACAATACTGAAGATTATAGAGGGTTTATGGATATATCCAGGCATACCTCGGAGATATTGCAGGTTTGGTTCCAGACCACTGCAATAAAGCAATTTACATGAATTTTTCAGTTTCCTAGTGCATGTAAGTTATGTTTACAGTATGCTGTAATCTACTGTGTGCAAAAATGTCTGAAAAACAATGTACATACCTTAATGTAAAGACACTTTGTTAAAGTATGCTAACCATCATCTGGACCTTCAGCGAGTTATATTCATTTTGCTGGTGGAGGGCCTTGCCTCAGTGTCGATGGCCACTGATTCATCAGGGTGGATTGCTGAAGGCTGGGGTGGCTGTGGCACTTCTTTAAAATAAGATAATGAAGTTTGCCACATCAACTCACTTTCTTTTATGAACTATTTGTAGCATGTAATGCTGTTTGAATTTTACCCATAGAATTTTTCAGATTGGAGTTAATCCTATCAAATCCTGCTGCTGTTTTTATCAACTAAGTTAATTTAATATTCTAAATCCTTATTGTCATTTCAACAATCTTCATAGCATCTTCTCGAGGAGTAGATTCCATTTCGAGACCACTTTCTCTGCTCATCTGTAAGAAGCAACTCATCCACTCAGGTTTTATCTTGAGGTTGTAAAACTTCGGTTACATCTTCAGGCTCCATTTCTAATTCTAGTTGTCTTTTTGTTTCCGCTACTTCTGTAGTTACTTCCTCCACTGATGTCTTAAATCTCTCATTCAAGAAGGTTAGCATTAACTTATTCCAAACTCCTGTTAATGTTGATAATTTGACCTCTTCACATGAGTCACGAATGTTCTTAATGACATCTAGTAATAATGAATCATTTCTAGAAGGTTTTCAATATACATTACCCAGATCCATCAGAGGAATCACTCTCTGAAATATTGTGAGAATTACCAAAAAATGACACAGACATGAAGTGAGCAAATGCTGTTGGAAAAATGTTGCTAACTTGTTCTACATAGAGTTGCCAGAGTCCTTCAACTTGTAAAAAAACAAATGCTGAGAAGCGCAATAAAGGGACATGCAGTAAACATGGTATACAGCAGGTCCTCAAATGTGGTTTCCTTCAACTTCATTGTAATGTCAATGAGAAAACTGACTTCCAGCTGAGGCCATTATCTGTGCAGGATTGACACATTCTCCCCATGTCCACATGGGTTTTTTGGGGGTATTTTGGTTTCCTCCCACATTCCGAAAATGTGATTATGTGGTCAACTGGCTTGTCTGAATTGTCCAAGTGTGGGTGTGTGTGAGTGGCCCTGTGTTGAGAGTGTTCTGTCCAGGGTGGGGTCCTACCTTGTGCCCTGAGCTAGCAGGAGACACTACAGTCACCCATGACCTGAGCTGGAATAAGTGGGTTGGAAAATTATCTGACTTTATTAATCTTTCTTAAATGTACATATAGCTTGCATTTCAGTGTTTTGATATTAAAAGTGTTTTGAGTCTTTACTTACAAGTTTTGTGATGTTTTGTGACCAGAAATATGCTGTAGGAACTTTTATCAATTAGCCTATGGTAAAATTGATGTCGTTATGTCCTTTCACTTAAAGTTGCAGTTTTGAAGAAATGATCGATAATGTTGAAGACTTACTGTATGCCTGTATTGTAAAAGCATAACAACATGCATGAGACTGATAAAACATCAAATTCTGGATGGTGACTACCTCTGGAGAGGAAACGCAGTGTGGGCTGCAAGTGGTAAATGTTAAGATTTGACAAAGTAAGTGCTGGGAACTTGGATATTCAGTACATAAAAATCTATTTTTTGTGTGTTTGAAAGAGTTCATAGAGCTACCAACACAGACACCTACTCAAGCACAGAAAGTAGTTCCAATGATGAATTTTAGTGCTATGGGCCAGATACCATAGTAGGCACTGGGGGTATAAGTCTGAACAAGGCATGTACCTATCCTCAAGAAGATAATCTCAAAGCCAACTTGGGTTCTGATTAACTTTCACTGATAGCTAAGGAAATCTGTTCCTTAGTAAATGGGCCCAAGACTCTTTAAAAGTTAAGCCACAGTTACCTAGGATAGCAGCAGACAAGGCTCAGGCACACACTTCTGCTCTGCTTCCCCCATCTTTCCTTTAACCCATTTCCCGTTTGCCTTGAAAATACAGCCGGCAGCACTTGGGGCTGCAGCATTTACCCCCATAACTTGCGGATTACAGTCCTAGCTTTACCCCCAAAGTTTGCCATGAAATATATTGCTTTTTTTATTTTCACACTGCTTAGTATATTGATAGTCTTTGGAACTAAATGACATCATTTTATTTATAGCATTCTGTATTTAGTAGTGCTATTTCCATTTACAAAATATAGTAATTCTCGATCACTTAAAATATCAAATCCTAGAAAATGTAGCATCCCTATGTGTGATGTTAAATTAATGCTAGCAGTGAGCTGCACTTTTTTCTAAATGGGAAAAGGGTTAAAGAATGAAGATAATGAAGAGAGAGAACTGGGAGAATAGATTCAGCAGAAAACAGATAATACCTACACATATGCAGAAATTACTTTTATTATGTTAAAAAAATTCCTTAATGAGATAGCAATTATTCATGTGAAGAGCCTAGAAAACCGATTTATTAGCTTTATCCTTGATTGAAGGTTTATGAATTATACACAAAACATTATTCCCTAGAGTTGGTTACTAAAGGTCTAAGAGGATGTGAACTTGTTAAGAGCTTCTCTCTACTTGTTTGGCTGATCCAATCAGACCACATGACTCAGGTATTAGGATGGACATATTTTTCTCTTGAATTTAAAACTTGACAACACTTCGGATGCTGTAAGAGAAGGAAATAATAAACACAGGTTTTGAATGGTATCTTTTAAGGTCACTAAAATAGTATTGTTTTTATTTTTTTCTCTATAAACCTCAAATCATTACCACATGCTATAATATATAACTAAAGGAAGCTTACCTCATTCCTGCATGCAACAGTTCAAAGGCTTTGTTAATTTGGTCAAAAGACAGATTGTAAGTCACGAATTCATCAACTTTTATCTTTTTGGACATATATTCGGACACCAACTTTGGGACGCTTTCTACACTCTTCCATCCTAAAAGAAATCATACATCTATTATTTTTCAACAGGTCTCTACAATATGTTTATTACTTCGTGGGTGAGACAAAGACATTTAAGAGAATAAAATTTTTCACTAAAGAGGAATGAAAAACTTCAAAATGAGCACAGAGATGAGAAAGAATTTAATGTACGTCGTTAGTTAAAAAAGTAAATGCCTTTTTAATATTTTCCTTTTTCTTTACTGATTTACTAAAATCTCATTGTCTCAATTGAGACTTTTAGACTATCTAGGATAGAACCTGCAAGTCTTAGAACAGCCTTATTTAGGTCCAGGAAAGATTTCAATAATCATGAAATTCAAGTAAGAAAAATACTGATGTGACACATGACTTTATTTCCTTCGTTTAAATTCAACAATGAAATAATAGCATCTCAGAATAGAAAACTGTGAAACTGAAATTAAAGAGGAATAAAAAACTTCGAAATGAGCATAGAAATGAAAGCAAAGCAGAAAAGGTTTAGCTACATAGTATTTAAAATCAGATGCTTCAATTTTTCACTTGTATTGGAGCTTTTTCCAAATCTCCTCCTTATATTGTCTACCAATTATTTTTTCCTACAAATTGTGGGCTTTTTCTTTCTCCTTTAAAACTCCTGTTAACTGAGACAACTAAAACTCTAAACCAAAACATCTATTTGCATTGTGGGTCATATTTTTGCAACACCATGGGGCCCCAATGTTCCAGCTTAGTTCCCAACCAGCATGTACTAGGATGAGGCTTCAGTTAGAGGTTCCTACCCCCGGCTCCATTACCCAGGCTTGGAATAACTTCTCAAATCTAGTTATGGACCCTAGATGATGATGCCTCTGAGTTGCATGTGTGGCTTTAAAGTCTGTTCTAAGATATTTAAGTGCAGTATACTTTTAGGGCTTTGGAAAGGAGGGTTTAGTCAGCCTGACATTTTCTACAGCAAATTCAATTGTATAAAGAAGTAAAACTTTGGCTAAACCCCTTGTTTTAGTATACTTTACTAATCTTTAGACTTTTAAAAAACTGGCATAACACGAGACGGGATGTTAACAGGTATATTGTTAAACATGGATTATTAAAAAGTCATGCATGCCATGTAATTTTTTTCCCTAAGAGGATGGTACACAAACTTAAGTTTTCATATAGTCACAATAGTTGGGATATACAAACATGTTTTGATGTCTTTTTGCTTCCCTAGGTAAGCAACCATGAAAAAGATGGAAACTTTCTCAGCATTCTACTGGTATTTAGGCAACCCCAAACAACCAGGTAGTTTTTAGGATCAAACAGGGAAAAATGATTAGTCTGGCAGCTTTTCAATTTTGTTATAAGGTTTTGTCTAATTTAATATTTTCAGTTTAAGACTTAGTATTAGTTACTGCTGAAATCATTATTATTTAGACAGGTGTATGATCACATACAGTGATCACTGCACTCTCTGGAAAAATTAGTAAAAATGCCAATAACCTGTTTAAGTTTAACACATGACACAGTATGACTGACACTATTGTTTGCTTACCTTGCAACCAATGTTTCACTCCTACCCTACCCCTAAACTATATCCTCATTAACAGAATACTGATTTTTTTTTTTTTTTTTAGTGTGTAAAAAGTGGCCTTGTGCTTCAGGAGAATCTGAGCACCAACCCAGCCCTGGGGGAAATACTAATTGAGTGTGAAACCCTTTTATTACAATAACTTTGTATGTGACAACTCATGATGAGAAGGCAGCCTATGAAAATTCTTGTTAAAACAAGAAAGTTAGTCTGGAATTAAAACTTTGCAAATGGAAAAAAACAAAACAAAAACCTCTGCCAATGGAAATAAGAAAATGTACATATCTCATTTATCAAATTACCTCCAAAGGCGGTGCCTTTCCATGTGCGACCTGTTACCAGCTGGAATGGACGAGTGGCGATTTCTTCACCTGAAGCAGCTACTCCAACCACCACGCTGACGCCCCAGCCTTTGTGGCAGGCCTCCAGTGCTGCTCTCTGCAGGCAAAAGAGAAGCCCAAATCACAGAATTCAGTGCATTTTGCTGAGAATACCTCCCTCCCCAGAAACTTCTTGGGAGAGAGGGTAGTGTCACAAAGCTTTCTTAAAAAAAAAAAAAAAAAAATAGGGCAACAAAATGATCAAACTGAATGTTTAATTTTACTTTAACAGCTATTTTTTAAAAAATTATTAATCTGGCTTAATATTAACACAAACTGAAAGAACTTAAAGCTTTTATCTTTATTGAAAAGTAAATGCTAGCTCAAAATTCTAAACACTTTAATAAAAGAATAGGCAGAGAATAGAAGTACTTTTCCTGAGTGTCTACTTTGTGTCAAGTAGGTGCCATTAGTACCTGCATTTTACCCATGAGGAAACTGAGGTTTAAAGAAGTCATCATTGCTCAAGGTCACTGATTTTTAGTACATGGATATCGATCTAATTTCAAAGTTCGTGCTCTCTATAACTGTATCACTTTTTTAATTTAAGGAGACATAGTCTAAGATTTGGCATATACTGAAAGGCAAAGAAACATTTTTCTGCATTCTTCCCTGAGCTGTTCTAGTATCCTTTCCCATTTGTAGTTTAAATAATTATTTTTCCCTTCCTCTATTAGAATAATTCTTATCGGGAGACTTTTACTTTCTAAAAACAAACACTTTAAAATCTTAATTAAGAAAACTGTGTTAAAAAGAAAAAGAAAGGAATGAAATCAAGCATACTTACCATGACCTTCACGTTACCAATACACTCAAAGGAATAGTCCACGCCCCCATCAGTCATCTCAATGAGCACTTCCTGGATGGGTTTACTGAAATCCTGGGGGCTGATACATTCAGAGGCTCCAAACTCCTTGGCCTTTGCAAATTTATCTTTATTGATGTCTACACCGATGATCCGGGATGCACCAGCCACCTTACAGCCCATAATAACTGCCAGTCCAACTCCTCCCAGGCCAAAGACGGCACAAGTAGAGCCAGGCTCCACCTAATAGTAAAGGCAGTCTATGAGGCACTCCTTCCACAAGAGTCAAGGAAATCACTTGCAAGGCAATTTCATTATTCCAGCAAAGACTTTTTTATACCAAATTAGAAAGTAGAAGCGACAAGCCAGGCCAACACTTACCTTGGCAGTGTTCACAACAGCACCATAACCAGTGGAAACACCACAACCAAGGAGGCAGACTTTATCCAAAGGTGCTAAAGGATCAATTTTGGCAACAGAGATATCAGCCACAACTGTGTACTCAGAGAATGTGCTGGTTCCCATGTAATGTAAAATTGTCTTTCCTTTGCAAGTAAATCGGCTAGTGCCATCTGGCATTAATCCTTTCCCTTGAGTGACTCTAAAGAAAATAAAAAAGAAAAAAGGCAGGGTACAATCAGGACAAAGAAATTAGTTTTTAAAATAATGACCAATAAGTAGTTAGAAAAGTGTGCTAAGACCAAAAATCTAGTTTCTAATGTATTTATTAATAAGTTAGCATCATTCAGCAATGCCTTATTAGGAAAACTTATAAGAGATTTATAACCTTATCTTTTCCGACATTCAATATCCTTCTGGATCTTATTGTCAGAGTAGTGAAATAATTTTAACAGCTACAACTTATGGATCAGATGAAATTATTTTAAAATTCCATCATAATACTCTGTAAATGTGACTTCATAAAGCGTAAAGCCAAATCCATTACCTACAAGCAGAGATCGTGAGCAATTATCCAGATTAGCTGATAAAAATAAATGGCTAACTGGCAGATTTAGATCTTTCAGGAGGCCTTTTCTAAAAGTTGAGTCCTTAAAAGATTCAAGTTATTTTTTCTTACGTCTGCTTCTGTAGTTGGTTACAGCAATTGGGGGGGGGCGGTGTCTCACAAAGGCAACCAACATGACATATGGTAACAAAAATTATATTAGATATTCTAAACAGAGAGGTGATGTCTTGCTTAGGAGTACGGGCCCTGAAGTCTGACATACTTGGGTGATCTGCATGATCTTGGGCAATTTAATTAACCTTTGTTTCTTCACTAGAAAATGCAAAAAAACAACTGTATCTTTTTCATAGATTGCTAAAAAAAAAATCAAATGAGATGTTATATAAAGCATTAGCACTGTGCCTGGCATAGTGTTTACTAAATATTTGTTATTTTTAATAAAAATATTAAAATATTTATAGATATTTATAAAAATTTGATGTATACTCTTAGACAAATTATTTGGAATATATATAAGTAAACAAATACATAGATGAAGAGAAAAATGGATTGCCTCTGGATTCAAGAGTAAATATATGTCCTTTAAGAGAAAAACAAAAACATGACAAGAAACAAAGAATAGGTGGCAAAGCTCTACCATAAATCACTTCATGAGAGTAACTTAAGTTTGTTTGGTCCTCCTTAATGTGAGAAATCACTTCTTCCCAGAAGAGTTTCATGAACAAAGGGTGACATGGGATACATTTTAAGCTCTGAAAGGACTTGTCCCTCTAAAAGGTTCTAGACACAGAAAGTCCATTACTCTAATTATACATGATCTATGACAAAATTTTTCAGGCTGTTTAATGTTCCCTCTGAAAGAACTAGTTTGTTTGTTTTTTTTTTCTTAGCTTTGCCAAAAGTAACTGGATTTATGTTATAAAATAAATGTCATCTTGGTTTCCCAAAATAAACTAATTTTGTCAGTGGCATCAGAAAAGAAATATAAGAACAGATTTCCCATATACTCCTGGTAGGAGTGCATCCTATGACTCAGCAATTCCAATCCCAGGAAAATATCAAAGAGAATGTATTGCATATATCCACCAAGAGACATGTAATGAAAACATTCATAGTAGCATTAATCACAACAGCCCCAAACCGGCAACAACTTAAATGTCCATCAACAGAATGGATAAACGGTGGTACCTGGAATGGAATATGAGAGAGCAACAACAGAGCAACTTGGATACATCTCCCAGACACTGTCAATGAAAGAAGCCAGACAAAAGAGGGCATAATGCATAATTCTATTTACATGAAGTTCTACAGTAAAAGAAATCAGAATAGTGGTTACCTTTGAAGGAGGCAGTTGCTGATTAGGAAGGGATATGAAGGACTTTGTGGGATGCTAGATGGGTTCTCTATTTTGTTCTGGGTTATGGTTATAACTATTAGGTGGGTATGTACATAAAAATTCATTGAGCTGTACACTTAAAATTTGTATACTTTAAGTACTTCAATATATGTCTGTTCTATTCAATAAAAAACAAAGGTGGGAACAAATACAAGATTGTAAACAGCCTCAAAAAAGTAATTAAGTACTGTTACCTTACTACAATAAAGTAAATACCTTTTCTGTTTTAAGGGGTTATATTATCTCTTGTAGTCTTCCCAATAACCTTGTGAGGTTTTATTTCTTTGATTCATAGACAATAAAACGGATATAAAAATGACTTAATTTAATTTCATAAGCATGTCTCCCTTTATTACATATTTTGGCAAATTTAACCGAGTGTTATGGAGAGAGAATGAGTTCAGAAAAATCAGTTTTGTCTCTTAATAGTTTATGATACTGGGCAAACCACTTAATTTCTGAGTCTATGAAAACTAGGATACTAATGATGATAAAAAGACAGAATAAAATAATTTATATAGAATGCTCTGTATAAATTGCCACATTATTAATATGATCTCTTGTTTTAAGAATAAAATAAAAAGGTACTAACCTTATCTTCTGGCAAAGGTTTGTTTTAGGATTTAGACAAAATTTGCATTCTCCACACTGAGGGATGTAAAGTGGGATGACAGTATCACCTGGAAAACAAATACAAAAACATTATCCTGAATTAGTAGCATCTGTTTCTAAATGAAGAACTACATCAGCTCCTGCAAATTCCTATTGCTTTCAAGTCATGGGGCTTTGCAAACCTAAATTCAAGGTTTAAAACTTTACCTACATAACATCATTCAGACACTGTCTGACCACACAAAAAATACAAGTTTCAAAATTTTTATTAAGGAAACTCTTAATAACTAGAGAACAAGGAGTCATGTGCTTCAAAGTACTGACTCATTGATGCATCTTTAAAAATTTTTGCTTAATTAGACAAAATTGGCTTAGGATATGTACTTAAACAGTTTTAAATGAACAGCAGTCTGAAAAATCAGAGAAAAAACCATCAAACATTTGTGCTTCTCAGGTGAGGAATAAAATCAATCTTGACAACTTACGTGATAAACAATGCAGAGTTCAAGAAATGTAATTTCCCTATAGAAATGAGCCAAAGTTATAAAATAAGAGGTCCAAATTTCCTCTTACCTGCCTTCAGGTTAGTAACTCCGTCACCAACACTTTCTACAATTCCAGCACCTTCGTGTCCCAAGATCACTGGAAAATTCCCTTCAGGATCAGCCCCACTTAGGGTATAGGCATCAGTGTGGCAAATCGCAAAGGCAATAATCTATCAGGATATTAAAATAGAAAGCATTTAATGGTGTGCATGTAATTCAAGGAGAGGCATAGGTCAAAGGATAGGCACTTTTACTTTAATACCATATTTCACTGATTCTAAGATATACTTTCATATTTTAACCTCTAAAATCATCACGTGCTTACAAATCTATGGCATCTTAACTAGAATTGGCAGCATTTTTTAGTAGTACATAAAAGTAATGGTGCATCTATATGCCATGTACATGGTATATCTATTTTCAGTGCGCATTAGCAAGACAAGGTAAACAAGGTGACTCTATGGGCACTTGTGCCTTCAGGTGTGAAGAGGAACAGTACCTGTGTGTTAAGCCAGGTGGAACTCATACACTGCTGGCCTCTTCGTGACTGATAAGAAATGTGATTTCTAAACATGCTAGCATGTTTGGTCTGTGCCAAAATGCTTCAGCTTTTAGTGGAACCAACTCTTTTAGCAGCCACACTCAAATTCTACCCCTAAAAAGCCCTTTATCCCAATTTATCCTCAAGTATCTCTTATTTTTCCAAACCACCAAAGCAAAGAAAGGAAATCTTAGAATATTTGTATTTATACTTCTCTGCTTCTCATCTATATACCCACTTACAATGTAAGATTCTTTGCTATTTTTGTTAGCAGCTTCCCAGGGAAGACAGCTGAACTCCATGTGCCCCATACAGCTCATTTTAGTACATTTGCGACAAACATTTTCTTTTTCAGTGGCAAAATCACAATCAGCTTAATTTTTGAACTTAAAGAAAAACACACAAACCAGTATAAGATTTCAGATTCTTGGGTCTGGGTTGACATGAACCTTAACAAGTTATTTGGCCCTGGGATTCATGACCTAAGTGTAATCTCTGGAGCATGAGCCAGTATGTGTACATGTGCTGTATGTTTGGAGATGGGATGGGGGACATATACTTCAATTTACAGCAAAAGAGCTGCTTTTTCTAGAATGTTAGTTTTATTCAGTGGTCATACGTTAATAAAGCATTAATTTTATACAGAGTATAATGCTAAAAACATCCAGCTTGTACAATATGCCTCTCTCCAGAAGTAATTCCATTTATCTTCCACAGCAGGGGTTGAGAAGCTCTGGAACCCAGGCCCTGTCTGCAAGGGTCAGTACATTTCACAGTTCTCTAAGCAAGCTGACTTTACTCGTTTGTTGCTCCAGTCGGTCAGGAACCTCTTCCCAAATGTTATTTGAAGTCTCTTCTAAAAACACTGAAGCCCGTTTTTTTTTTCTTTTGTTTCTAACACGTCACCAGACATTTTACGTTATAGGATCAACATCCCACAAAGCCACGTTAAACCCAGGCTACAGAAATAAATTGTAGTAAACTAGTGATTCCTGAGGAAGGATGCTCAGCCCGATATCAAAACTAAAAGATGTAGAGAAGTGCTAGAAAGGTGAGAGGGATAAAATAAGAGGATGTTTTGATTCTATGGTTGGATGAATTTCAATACTTTGTTCTCAACACTGTCCTTTGGGACTTATCTATCCTCTGCAGACCTCAGAAGTTTCATCTATCTAGAGACCTAATTGTAAGTCTTCTCCAGTGCCTCAGATGTATCATTACCTTAATTCGAACTTCATGAGCCTTTGGGGGTGCCACCTCTACCTCCTCTATGGAGAGAGGTTTTCCAGCCTCCCAGGCAATAGCAGCCTTGCACTGGATAACCTGACATGGGAAAAAACAGACCAAGGTGTTTATCCTCCTGAATAATGAGCTGCTTATTAGTTAATTTAGATACTGATGAATACCAGAAATTATTTCACAGATTCACAAAGGAAGATATACCTCTAAGTGATATGGAGAATTGTTTTACCTGTTTTTAGATTTCATATAAATAATATGCATTAAAATATTTAACTGTGATGACCACAAGGTCAGATATAAAAGCCTCATTTGGTTAAGAAGTTTTATTCATCAAATATTTAATGACTCTCTACAATGCATAAGGAAAGCAGGTTACGAATAGAGGTTCCAAGAGAATCTGATTCTGTGGGCCTGGCACAGGGTCCAAAGAATCTGAATTCTTAACACGAGCTCTCCAAAATTCATTTGCTCAAGCTGGTGTAGGTAACACTTGTGTAGTGCACAACTGCAGGGTGGTAAAGAGTATAAGGAGTATCAGACTAGGGGAACTTTAAAAAACTATATCTATCCTTTTTAACTGAGCTATCCAATACAGTATCCCATTTGCCATCTGTGGCTACCGAGCACTCGAAAAACAGCCAGTCTGAATAGTTTATCTGTAAATGTAAAATATACTCAGATTTTGAAAGTGTAGCACCACCTTCAAGTAAGGATATTTCAATATTTTTAAAATATTGATTGCAATAGTATTTTGAATGTATTTGATTAAATTTTAACACAATTTTAAAATAGCTAATAGAAAAGTTAAGATTACCTATGTAGCTTTTATTTCTATAGTATAGTGCTGCCTGAAAGATTCTAGTCAGTACACACCTCCATTACTAGAGGCTCAAGCGTAATGAAGGTTTTGATCAGTTTACATAACAGTTATGAAATGTGTTGATAGAATAAAGGTTGAAAACAATTGGGTTTATAGGAGACAGACTGGAAAGTTAATTATAAAATGTGATTTAAAGGAAGAGGCATAAAGTGCTACAAAGTACAAAAAGTGGAGAAAGTGTAACTTTGGTGAGTTTGAGAAAGCTTTACTTTTAACAGGGATACTGAAGGAGGAGGAAGAATTAGTTGTAGACGGTGATAAAGCACCTATGTATAAGGTGATTGTGAAGAGTGAATGAGAATGAATATGAAGCCCCTAATACAGTCCTTGGCAGAGGGTAGCTTTTCAAAAACAAGTTAGTAGTTATTACTAGCAGTAGAACAAAGTATGGAGGAAAAGGAGAGTTGAACTATATAGAAGGATGAGTGGCTTGTGTAAATTGGTGAGGCCAGAGATTATTGCTTTTAAAATTAAAATGTAGATATTAAATCTGATCGGATAGCAAATTCAGACACTGTATTGGAATCTTTATTCACCTCAATGCAAATAAATCTCAAAAGTCAAATTAAAACACTAACAATGAAGCCACGTATGCTAGATCTCTTAAGCAACAAGAATAAATAATATTTATTATTCATCCATAATCTAAGTTTTATGCTCTCCCTTTTAAAGTATGTTTGAAAGAAGCTTAAACTTTTACTTTCAATGACAATTCTAAGCAAAACAAAGCCTCACTCTAAATCACAGGCAATTGCCCCACTTCAACATCTGAACTAAGTTATGAATTATAACTTTTCACCTCTGAATAAAGATATGTAGTAATAAGGAAAAACAACTGACAATTTGTTAAGTCTGAAAGATTTTTGGAGTTTACCATTTCTTTTCAACTCCAAAATTTAAGGTCATAAATCTTTCTAGAAAATCTCTAAAGTTTGCAAAGCAACTTTAGATTGATTACTCATGTTTTCGTATATTTCTACGTTTTCTTTATTGTCTAATGTGTATTTCAGGAACCTGGAATGGTCTGTTGCACAGGGACAGACCTGGATCAGAATCCCAGCTCACTATCTTTAGTGTGTTCACTAAGCACTACTAACCTCTAAGCCTCAGTTTTTGGTAAGATGGGGACAATACCTCAGAGGTTTCACATGAGGATTAAAGGAGGATATAAAGCTCTAGTGCCTAAATACTAAAAAATGTTACTGAAAGGAATCTAGAAGTCTTCCTAAAATACATTCCTTGGTATTTCTTGGTGGCATAATAACAGCGCAATTATGAATTACTATCATGAAACAACGAGCAACCTAGAAGTTAGGAGCACCGGCTCTAATCGAAGCTTTGCCACCTGCAAGTATGACCCGGGGCAAGTTACAGTAAGTCGTGGACAGGTTCCGTGACTTTATGCAAAATGAAGTACAAGGAAACCAATTTTACCATACGCTAATTGATATAAACAAGAGTTAAGGTCCTACAGGCATCTCATTAACTTAATAAAGAAACGGGGCTTGAACAAAAAGATCTGCTTTACTTATTCTGGAAGACCTGTACTGGAGGACCTGTTGTACTTATTTTTTGCATAGGCAGAGCCTGGCCGCTTCTAAGCCATTTTCACCAGGATAAGCACAGACCATTCCCGCCCCCCATTCTCCGATTCT